GAACCATCAGGCCCCCACGTGTCCAAGAGGAAGGAATTGACCTTGGATCGCGCAGGGGTGAACTGCTCGAAGAGTATGATCCCTGACGGGGCGGCGATCAGGGTTCAACGCATTAGATCCAATCTAGAGCAGGAGTTGATATCCGATGATATCCCCGCGGGGACCGAGGGATCATGACCCCCGGGCCTTGCAGGCCCACGAAGGCCCCATTGAGCATCGAGACCCCGAAGGTCTACGCAATGCCAGCAACGCCCACATGTTTCATCTGGTCTATTCCTTCATATTCCTCCCATTCCGTTTCTGCTCGCACGGCTTTTTTTTATAGCAGCCGGCCTTGCAAATTCAAGGCTGCCCTTGCCCTATCTGTCGCGTCCCATCCTTTTCGTGCCCATTGCGCCGAAAGCGGGGTTGTTCTCCCGGCGCGCCCGCGTCGGTTTCGGTGGGGGCCCCCATTGGGCGTCCGCCTGGGTGGGGGCGTCCATCGCGCGATGCAGCCCGAAGAGATTCATGCTTGGATCTTCTCGTCCCCACTGAGGCCTGTCGCCTGGAATGGCCCGCGGTGCGCGCGCGGGGCCTGCTTGATTCCTTGGGCCCGTTGCGTCCGCCATCGGAGGTCCGACGCCCGTCTCTGCCCCGCAGCGGCGCCGATCGCGCGGGGTTGGCGGCGCGGGGAGCTTCCGCCAGGAGACCTCTGCCCCCCTCCCCCCGGCCCCCGCGGATGCCATCGCTGCGACCTGCGCCCGCGAGGACCTTGCGGGCGCGGTCGGGCCGCGCCCGCCTCGCTTCTCCCAGCTGCGGTCTCCGCTGCGCGCGATCCTGGATCCCAAACTGCCCCCGGGCAAGGGTCGGAAGTGCTGGGGCCGCGGCCTGAGGCGCAAACGACATTTCGAACGGTTGGGCAAAGTGGATGGGGCCCGAGGAGCCTCGAGCGGCGACGCCGTCAGCGGGGGCGCGCCGACCCCAGAGATGGGATCCCCGATGCTTCTCCGGGATGGAGATTTCATCGCGAGTGTGCCTCGAGCGAGGCGCCCGCGAACATCGACGCCATGCCGCCGCCGGGGCCCCCCTAGCCCCCCGGCCACTGCGGTGGCGGTGTCTTTTTCTCCCGCCCCAAGATGGGGGAGAATGCGGGAATGCTTTGCGATTGGTTTGCGTGTCTCCAGACATTCGCCATTCAATCCATCCGTTCATCCATCCATCAAAAGTTCTTCGATTTATATCTGCGCGCGCCCGTTCCCTTCGCCCTCTCTCCATGATGGCGAGGCGGCGGGTTTGCCGAGCGGGCGAAGGATGTTTTGCAGGAGGGCCGGCCGCGTCATCAGCGAGCGCGCCCCGACGGCGCGTCGGCAGCAGCGCGACAGGGGCGAAACGCGATCCGACCGCGCGCCCGCATCTGCGAAGGCGGGGGGGGGGAGGGGGATAATGGGGCTGAGGGCCGAGGGTCTGGGACGAGGAGGGGCGTCGAGGATCGAGGGGCTGGGCTTCCGAAACCTGCGGATGTCATCGGCGACGAGAGACCTCCGGGGACCTCCATGGACCGTCTGGGGTGGGTGGGTGAGAAGGGGGGGCTTCCCAGAAGCCCCTCTGGCTTCTAAGGGGCCTTCTCGAGAGCCCCCAGTCCCTGCCGGCGGGGCCCTGCTTCCTCGGGGGCCCCCCGTTCTCTTGGAGGGCCGCCCCCCTCGCGCCGCCCCCTCGCGCGCGCCGCCCAATGGTCCGGGGGGGCGGGGGGGGGGGGGGCGGGGCTCGAGCGAAAGGTTGTTTTGGCGATGTCGCGGGCCGCTTTCGCATTGAAGTCGCTCCGCAAGAATGGCAGGGCGAAGACAGAACGAGGGCGCCGAATAATGAACGCAAACGAAAAACACCGTTCAGCTCGAGCCCTGGAGTAGGGAGGGGCGGAATTCAGTTTCAGTCAGCCCCGGGAGGTGGCATGCTCGCGCGAAGGGGCGGCGCCGGCTGCGCCTCCTGGGCGTTGGACCATGTGACGCTTGATTTTAGAAGGGGCCCGAAGCAGTCCGAGCGGCCCGCGGCGTCCCGAGCCGACGATTGCTCTGCCTTTTTGATGGCGGCCTTCGTGAGATCGCACATAGGAACCTATTCGCAACCTGTGGCGCGCTGTTCATAATCGCAAGAATTTGCGAGGGTTGGGGGCGACGTCGGGTTAGGTCGGGCGCGCCCCTCTGCAGGATTAATCACTGGAAAACAGTGGGGGCACATTGCGGCGATTTGTTCTGCCATGTTCAAAATTTACTCCAAATAGTCTGGACATCGCGTCTTGGGCATTATTTAGGCGAGCGCGCGACGCGCGCGGCAGGAAGTCACGGCGCGCCGCGCGGCGCCACCCTTGTTATCTGTTTCGCCGCACTTGGCGGCGGCAGCGCGCCCCATTGCGTTTTAGCAGAGGCGTGCGTCTATGGCTCCGTGGTCTGTGCGACGCGCGCAATGGGGGTCGACTGCGCGCTGCCATCGTGGATTGGATGGCGCGGCGCTGTGATGAGATTCGCGCGCAGAGTGAGCTATCCGTCGGCAGGCTTGCAGATGTTGATCAATGTTTTTGTCGTCGCCCCATTTTGTTGCGCGCCTTCGCAACGTCCGCCCGATCAGTCTTTGTTGCCTCCGGCATCCGGCATTCAAGATGTCGCTGCAAAGCCCCGCCCCCCCCCCCTCTCTACCCCCTCGCTCCTGCGCGCCATTCTTGCGCGCCCCCCAAGCCCTGCTCCCTTGCAGTGAGGGTGGCGCGCGTCAACCAGCGCTCCCCGCGTTCGGCCATTGAGTTGCTTCGAGCAATCACGCGGGGTATATTGCGCGAGGGTTTATCCTGACCGGACAAGGTCAAGCCCTTTTGATGCCATCGTCGAGTAGATATGAGTGGATCAGGAGTTGAGATGGGACACAGTAGGTGTGGACAAGTTGTCCGCGGGTCAGGTTATTTGAATTTGGCGCAGGATTGGGTACATGCCAGTTCCGAGTGGGGCAGAATTGGAGTCGGCGTAGAAGTGTCATATAGACAAACACCAGCTCTCATGTCAGAAAGGAGGGGGCTTGCATGTGCTGTTGAAGGGGGCGTAGAGTAGATGGGGGTACATTAGGCGCGCGGCGGGGCAGAGTACGACGGGGGCTACATGTGCAGATGCGCATGCAAACTTACAGGCGCGGCAAAATTAATTCCTGCCGGTTGGATCGGTAAGGCGGTCGCGCGGGTCGCGCGGGGCCGAGTATTGGGCGCGTTCGATCAGGGGCGAACATTTTGCCTACGTGCGCGCGCGCGTCTATATACATTCTATTCAATTGCGCAGATCGGCAAGCCCAGCGCGCGCGCGGCGAAGCATGGCCGGGAGCTTGTGGCGCGCCCCAGTCATTGCCTTCGCCGTCGGGGCGCCCAGAGCACAGACAGGCGCCGTCGCCGGCTCAGCAGTAGTACCTCGGATGCCCACTGCGAGTGTCCGACGCGCCCCGTGAGTTAACAAAATACTTCAGCGCGGGATGTCGCGCGCTCGCTGGCCGCGCAAACTACCCCACTGGAGGATTTCAAGCACCTTGCGCGCGCGCAACATACTCCAACAATGCCTCCCGCAGATTTCCAATATTGAAACATGCTCCTCCACAAATGCCCCCACAGATTTTGCGCGCTCAAGACAGACTCCCAACATAATCAAAACTCTTCCATACATATTCCAGAGAGACTTCAGCGCCAGTTGCGAAATTTCAATATTCTGATTGTACTCGAGTGCCATCTGCGACATTTTCAAGTACTCCACAATCTACGCCGGTGTCATCTGCGAGATTTGAAACTACTCCATAGGTGTATCAGTGCAAATTTTCTCGGATTCATCAAATTACAAAAGCGCGCCAGTGCAATTTGCGAATGTTGAGACTACTCCGACAATGTTCCCATGCCATTGGCGAAATTTAAGAACACTCAATATATGCCCCCGCGTTTCTGATGTCCTGCGCTGGGGATGCCAAACGCGCGACGCGCACTGCTGATGTGGTGCCCACGTGGGCCGAACAGCGTGCCGTTACGTTGCCGAACGCATGTCGTTCCGCGCCACAGAAGCGTCGCGGCCTCATTCCGCGTGCCCGATCCCGCTGGGGGACTGGCTCTCAACGCGCGCGCGCGGATCAAATTTGTGATGCGTCCTTACGCGCGTTGCGCAGCTTGCAGACAGAGAAAGGCCCAAATTTGTGCATCCATGTTTGGGTCCAGTTTACGAACAAGCGTTTGCAACTTGGGACGGGGGCAGGAGGTCGCGGGGCAGGGGGACCTGTCGATCGGTCGATCGGAAGATTGATCGATCGACCGACCACTAAAAGGACGAGCTTGCGGCGTTCCGCCAGCCCCCGCGGACCCATTATTTGTATTTTGTCGCGCGATTGGTTGTTTTTTTCTGGTGCGCCCCCTCGCGTGCCCTCAGGGCGCATGTTGCGTCTGTCGCTTGTCCTCGAAGCGAGCCCAGTGGCAACGGACCGCGCGGGGTCGGCTGAGTGCGCAGCAGGGTCGGTTCGCTCCCTCGCGAACGCGAAACGAATGTGTACCGGGTTTCGTTTATAGTGAAAAAAAACGCCCCCTTTGTTTGGCGCGCACGGCGCTGTGTATATTACGCGCGCCGAAGCACGCAAGGAGGATATCGTGGAAACGTGGTTATCCTCCAGCAGGGATGGTGTTTTTTCCCCGCAGTCTGTTTGTAGCATCCCCGAAGGTTGTTTATACCCAGCGGAAACCTATGTTTGGAGTTAAACATGTTCCTTTTTCAACAACCGCCTGTAGTCGGGCATGCCCGAGATAAACGTCGGCGTGGTGTGGTGTATTGTTTGTTTGTCCGTTTCCCGGGGGAACAACGGAGAATGTATAGACCAGTTTCCCGTGTGCACCAGGACCCGCTTCCCAGTGCAAATTCCAGCGCAGGGCCGGTAACAGTGTCGGTGTATAGAGCTCGGTCTTGTCTTTTACAGAAGGGCGCGCAACCCAGGAGGAGGAGGAGGAAGAAGAGAGGGAAGGGGAGGAGGGCGAGGACCACGTGCACACCATTGAGGACTACGTTGCCGGGGAGCCCCTCACCATCACCTTGCTCCAGGACGCGCGACCGCACGGTGCTATGGACTCATCAAGCGAGTTCCGCTTTTCGCTAAGTGCCTAATCGCAAACGTCCGACAAACATGTGTTTCCCCAGGTGTCGCGTATCGTAAATCTCCGAGGCAGATCCAGGCCATTTGAGAGCAGTTACTTTGTGAGTAGTGGAGCGCGCTTGAGTCGACCCACGGGGGGGAAGGCCAGGCCGCCCACATGGGGTTGGAAGTATAGCAGGGTCGTGCCGTGTTGACGCGGCGGCGACGGACCCCAGCGGTGGCATTCAAGGTTGAACGCTGCCGTTGGCCTAGAAAACCCGCCGACATCAAGCGATTTCTAGCGTCATCGGAAAACAGCGATCGTTCGTTCTTGAACGTTCCACGCGGTCTAAGGAGCCATCGCCGAAGTCGTCATGGCCGAATTTGGTATGCATGGGGTCGAAACATGGGGTCGAAGAGCCGCGCGACCCCCTGACCGATCTTCCCAATTCCGACGTCGCCGATACATCCACGGTCCACGGTGCATCCGCGGTGCGGTGCGATTTCTCGATTCCATCCAGCCTGGCCCCATATGGGTTGACCTTCAGCTGAGGAGGAGGATAGAGGTTCGAGGACCGAGGTTCTTGGATACTTCGATTGCCGTGTTCTTGGGCCTCCGCCAGAGGAAGAGGAATCGGAGGATCGTGGAGAAGCAAAGGAGGAAGGAAGAGGAGGAGGATGGGAGACGCGAAGGAGGAGGAGGACGAGGAGGAGAAGGAGGAGGAAGAGGAATGAGAAGAGGAGGGAGCACGACGACGAGGAGGCGGACGAGCATGACGAGGAGGAGCACAGGGGAGGAGGACAAAGAGTAGGTGGATCCCGATGCGCATGGTTGTTCGCACGTGCGCCTCTTTCTGGACCGCTGGGCGGCACCGAGATGAATTGAGCAGGACCGACCTGAACCAGCTTGTCGGAGGAACGAGAAGGCGGCATGCACCACCACCCAGCGGGCAACCTGGAGCGAAGATGCATACGATGCCCCCTTTTCCGAGCTGAAGAATTGAGATGCTTCAAGTGGTACGCCGCACAAGAGGGAAGCCACACCACAAGGAGGGCCTTTCCCGGCTCCTCGCGACGGGGGTGGTGGTCAGTGGTCTCGCTTCTTTTGTTTGTTATGAGCAGGCCTCGCGGTGTGATCCTTCCAATTCGCGGCCCCAGAGCTCCTGACCCCTTCCCAGGGGGTAATTGTTCAGCCCAGGTCCAGTTTGGGTTGCCCCGTGCCCCGTGGCCCGACAACGACAGCCCCTTGCAGAGGCCGCGACTTGGGACGGAAAAAGCGTCGGCGTTAAAATGACCAATCCTTCGTTGGTTTGGTCCGCCTCCCGCACCCTCGAGCATGATTTGTGGCGCAAGCTGGCTGCCGGCGAGAACTGGCATCGACACCAGCCTGATTTTGTTGCATGGGCTGATTTGACGACTGAGGGCGCTCCCAAGGGTCCTTCCCCTCGCGGGTCATTCTGACAGGACTCGATCTTTGATCTTTCAGCGAAGCAAGCCTATGAGACCACACGGAGAATTCTTGCTGGAACGTATCAGCATCAGGTTGCGACACAGGTGAAAATCCCATGCTGAATTGGCAAGTCTTCGCAGAGAGTGCAACCTTCGTTGGGCACATGATGCACAACTCGCCATGAGCTCGGTCCACCTGAAGACATGCGAGGCCCCGAAGGGCCCGCCTGACAGCATACTTACGCAGGACGAGCGATTTTCCTCTCGAGGTGAAAATGGCGATGATGAGAGCGTGATTTATCATCGGCGCCGCCGAGCGGACGGCGTCTGGACGAGTTGCGTGCAGCAACAGGCAGGAAAGAGATGTATTCATATTGAGTGGGGCCCGCGCGCGCAGAAAGTTGATGGGAGTGCGCGAAACAGTACAGGACCCATCCTGGGAAGTTGATGACCGAGCCCCCTTCCCCCGTAGTCTTAACACGGGCGGGTTCCGGGGTCCGCGGATCCGATTTCTTCCGGTTCCCCGCTGTAATCTCATACCGTGAATGTAAAACGGGGTAGGAATCGGATCCGCCGTAAAAGATAGACTGCACGCGGATCCAGAAATTCCGAACCCGAATCCGCGCGGACGGAAATTGGATCCACCGAAAGAAAGACCCAAACCAAAATTGGACCCGTGCGAGCTTCATTGGATCCGACGGCGGCTATCTCATACGCGTCTGCTCAAGACTTCAAACCTTCGTTCTGGGCCGAAGAGGAAACCGTTTCCGTTCTGGGGATGTAGCCTTGACGAATGTCTAGCGTGTTCGAGCATCTTTCCACGTCTTACGAAGGCGCGACCTGTAAGCCCCAATCGAGGGATAAGGTATTCCATGGGAGCCAGGCCGCGTCCAACTGGCCCGTTGAGAATGCGAGAGTTGTCGAAGGGGACCCCAGGATGAGCCGGGAGCATCCCGAGACATCTCGAGCGAGCTCCAATAAAGCTAAACAACGGGCTTCGACGGTCCCAGACGCTCCAATATGCCCACATACTATTGAACAAAGGCTTTCAGATGGCCCGCCCGAGCGCTCTCCGGGAAGCGAAAATTGCACATCCGTCGACTTGGATACGATTGTGACGTCGCGCGGCTTTACATGAGATTGCCGACGATTCCTTCCTTTCTTCCGCCCCAATCCCCCGACGTCTCTCTCTCTCTCTCTCTGTATCTTTTTCTTTCTCCTCGTCTTCGTCCTCTACCGCCAGCGCTAGTTTTCTTATCATTAGGATTGCATCATGCCCTGTGGTTGCAGCCCCTCGTCCGCGAACATGTCTTGGGCCATGATGTGATGTGATGATGCCTGGGCCCCCCTCTTCGGCGCTCCCGAAATCAAGAGGTGTGCGCACCGCTTTCGTATTGCCTTCCGGAAACGGGATCGTCGCATCGATGGGCCATTGCCTCCCCTTCCTCGGAAAGTGGAGCATGTACATTACCAGTGGCGGGCTGTTTTTCGATCCCAGGACTTTCTGAGGGTCGGGGACGACGTCGGGTGGTGGGGTGCGTGTACGTATATTTATAGATTCCCCGTTTTCCCGGGGACGCAGTGGTACATGCATACACCAGGACTCTGTACACACCAGGCTCCGCTTTCCTGTGCGAATTTCGGTGCGGGGCTGGAGAACGTGTCGGTGTGCAGAGCTCGGCTCCTCGCTTCCCTCGTCGGCCAGTCAGTCACGACGTGGGCAGCCCGCGCGCACGCTGGAGCGGAACACCCTGACCAGGAGGTAGATCCGCACGTAGGAGTTACTGCGCACGATAGCCATCATCACGCCGAAAGGCGCCTCGATCGTGCAGCAATTCGGTCACATCCGTCTTGATAACCTGCATTCCCATAGAGCACACAGCCACCAAGAAGCGCGCACGCTCGATGTGGCTCTCCGGGAGGGCAAACGTCATCCAGCCGACCTTGGATGTCGCTCTTGGGCCCTGGGGAGTGAAGACCAGAACAGCGCTTGTAGAGAGTAGCGGTATGTCAGTTCGTCCCGCAGGATGCGGAATTTCGCGCCTTCGCAAACCAAGTGCCGCATGGAAGGGTAGAGCTCGTCACAGAAAGTGCATTGCTTGCCAGACTGGAGCCGTGTCTCAGTCGTTTCCGCTCCAGAGCGGAAAATCAAGACACACAAGGGTTCGTGAACGGAAAGTTTCAGGTACCATGATGAGCATATTTTGTTGGAGCATGCTTCCACGTCCACATCATCTATCTCCTCCGTGTTCAATCTTTATTTGCAGATTTGCTGCAAGCAGCATATCCGAGCCACCGCTCGGAGGGCGTGTTGTGCACGTTTTTGAACCCGTCCAGAAGCGTCGTCGGCCATCCATCAAGCATTCCAGGACTGTCGATGATGAAGTCGTCCATCTCTGAAGCCTCGAGCAGGGCACCCTGGATCTCGGAGTAGCGGATGAAGCGAAGGCCCAATGTGGTCGCATAGTGGTTGAAAGTCGTGTCCAAGAAGTTGTTCCAGACAAGTCGCACATCTTGAATCTTTGCAAAGCCATGCAGAGCAGTAGAAAAAGAAGGGTGTAGTGAAATGTGGTGTGCCCACCCCACCATCGCCACAGGCACCACCAGCTCGTCTGTGATTTCCAAGTGGCAGCGGCCAAGCGTTTCCCCGTCTCAATCGGGGGAGGGATGGTAATTGGCGAAGACCATGGCCATAACGGTCGTATGTAGACGAAAGAGAGGCGTATACGCACCTGCTGTGTACCGGGCATCGTGCGCAGGATTGCGATCGCCATGTCCAGTTTTGACCACCCTTGCCGTGGTAGAATACCCCAGCTGGTGTCGGTCGGCTTGGCCAGTACCCCTAGGTACCAGATCTCCACTGGTGCCTGAGAGTCTGGCCATCGCTGCGGCTTCTTGACATGTTCTGAAAATCCAACGTCGGTATCGCATTTAGTAGTAGCCACCTAAACTTGATCCAACTCATCACTTGATTGTGCTGTCAACGATCGGACGCCAATACAAGAAGCTGAACGAATCAACGGTTGCCGTGGCCGCGGCGTAAGTGTGGCGATCATCACAGCAGGTGCAATGGAGTCGCCCTGCGGCAAGCCCCTCGTCGCGAAGATCGGAGGGGCAAGTTCTCCGTTCAAGCTGCAACAACGAGGCCCTCGCCAGGCCGCGCCACAAACATGTCGAACAGCGTCTGAGGGAGAGGCAGCAACCATCGTTGCATCCGCCACCTCATGACAGATAGTATCATGTGCTCTCTAAAGATCCAGTTCGATGCCGTCGGTGCTCTCTTTGCAGCCGTGTAGCCAGGAGGAGATGGCGTGGACCACGCTGACCGCCTTGCAGTTGGCCTATTGGTTGGTGGGAGGCGTCGGCGTTGAAGTTGCCAAAGCTCGCAGCCAAATTCTCAAGAGAATGGACCCAACACTGATCGGTCGTGTGTCCTCCTCGTTCTTTGGGGGTCCCGCCACCCTCCACGAAAATAGATGGTGGAGTAGGTCTGCTGGGGGTTGGCCTTGTGACTGCACAC